GAGAGTCCAACATGGACAGTTAGTACTCTTCCAATTTTCCATTTTATTTTGAGAATTTTAACTTAATTGCATAAAAAACAAGTATAAAATCTGAATAATTGATACATTGAACATTGAATGTCACAACCCTTTTATGTCCCGTATGATCAAGTATTTCCCACCTAATTTCCCTTCCGTAAAACGATTCAGCATGAATAAAGATGCCCCCATTACAATGATCTCCTCGATTGTTTTCTGGGGTTTTTTTTATTACAAGTTGTAACTGATACCGAGGAGAGAATACTCTTCATGGAGAATGGCTCTCTATGGTCATTTGAATTATGCCAGCTAGTTTGCTCTCATGTTTGGGCTATGGATGTATCAAATTGAAGCATGTTTTCTTGGTGGCAGTGAATATGCAAATTGCTTCCCCATCAGTTCAAAGCGGATCAAAATATAGCATGATGGGCCTAATGTTGCATGACCCTGCAATAATTTTAACAAGGAACACACCATATGCAGAATGTACGTCCATCATGTCATGGCACACTTTGGATCATTATACAGACCTTCCAAGGATCTGTGCCAACATGCATGCCAGAGAATACCTATTGTTCCTGAACCGTGAGCACAGACATGTCTGTCCGTCAGAGGAAATTCGTAAAAAAAAGGAAAATCTAAAAAACAGTGAGCTCCTGTATTTTTATTTTTTTGGCTTTTTAGAGTTAATATGCCTTTAACGACAGAAACGAGACATGTCTTCTTGTGTTTATATCCAGCACGATATCGTAAATGCATGCCAGCAATCGACCCATGGAAGACAATTTATCAAGACTATCTTTTTGTATAGGCCATTGTATTGAAACGCTGTATTTTTTCAAATATCAGTGTGTCAGTATCCGTGTTCAGTAAATCCTTGTGCTATATTAAAATTTACAGTTCAAGTATGATGTAGCAGATAACTCCAAGCATGTATTTTCAATCAGGCTGATGTGTTTAAGTGGTTGAGACAACCCACCTTACCAACCTTACATGTTTGAAGTTTAATCCACAATTTAGCAATGATGTACGCCTCACAGATAGATCCATTCATGAAAAGAAATAGTTGTTTCAATCCATAATCTTGATCACTGTGAATTTCAAAGTAGCAAAGATGGCTGTATCTCATCTTTCTTACAGTAATACCCAATGATTTAAAAATGTTTAGCTTTAAACGTCGCATCTTTATTTGTCTGGGTACAAAAATAACCTAAAGATCATTTCTTTTTCAGTACACGTAATACACCATTATCTAGGTTTCGATTATCATTATTATAGTCACAAATATCATGAACACTCCAAGTTAAAAAAAAAAGATTTGCACTTGTTCTTCCATTCCTCACCAAAAAATGCAGGCTTTGTTACAACAGTTTAATAAATTTATATCCCACAAATGTTAACGTGACAGAAAGCATTACTTGGAAGAAGATCGTTTTTGAACATTATAAAATTTTCAGGCACAGTGCAGATTCCGGTGAAGGGTATAACCATTTACTTGTTAAAGGGTAGCTGCAACACATTTTTTTTGTAAACGCACATCTCAAAATGCACCTTTGTGTCTCAGTTAACTTATTGTTCACTATTACAAAGGGTTAGGGTGTTTTGGTTTTTATGCTGATGAGAATATCTTTATTTAATACAAAGTAATGTTATCCCAGGAAAAAAACTCAATGTTACAACGTTATGTAGGATTAATTTGAAATATTGCAGGCAAGCAATCAATCCTTTCTCTGACATGTTTCAATGAGTAAACTCCTGGTTTACAATTTGAACGGAACAATTTGTGCACTGAGCCAATGTTTGGCCTAAATAAAACTCATAGCTACTGCACAGACTTGTCCAGAAAATTATGGTTAATTTTGATTGTTTAAAAGCATGCTTTAAAAAATTTAACCTAATCGAGGAATCAAATAGTTTTCACACTTTAAAGAAGAGTAGAAATTGCAGAAAATACATGTCAAAGGATAATTTTGCATTCATACTTTATGGCACATTTAGATCAACACACAATATTTTCAAGAGGGAAGGTAATTCCTCAATAACCATATCAATCACGATTACAACTGTAAACACTTTTGAAATTTCACAGGAAAGTAAAAACGATAAATTGGGTCTCTGAAACCCCCACTAAGACTAGCACATAAAACGTAAAACATCTCCGTTGCGTGAAACATTTACATTTGTCTTTATAAACTGTGTAACTTAACAAAGTTATAATCCATAGAAGGTTTATGATTTAAAGCAAACCACCATCAAACCGCTTTGAACTAAATATAACTATGGTAAACAAGCACGCAGCACGTATATTGCATTCGTTAATCAAAGGCCATTGTAATCACTTTTCCAAGCTAAGCCTTCTAAAATACGTTTCCCGCGTTGACAAGCATACTACTATTACGCCAAGGATCGGGAATATTTGTATTCCTTTTTCGCATCCAGTTCTGAAGCCAAATTGAAATTCCATAACGTCATCAGTGAACTGGTCATTCTGTTCACATGTGCTAAAAGTTATTCTGAGTAACAAAGTTAAATTGTGTATTTGAATCTTAGTTAAAAATATAACTTTTAAAAAGGACTTATCTCAAATATTACAGACAACTTTCAGATTAGCTTCAAGAATATATTTGACTACAGTTTGGAAGAGTTTCAAATGTACGAGCCAGAAATGTTAATAAAGCTACCAAATGCGAGGCAAATGATTCATTTGGTGGATATTTTCTGCAACAAGTAGTGGACTACCTTCCAATATGAACGGGAATATAGAGTTCAACCATTCAAAATGCAGTTAAAACGTACTCAAATGATTATCATTTTTTTACACTGAACATTTTGAAAATGAGATCTAACTTCTGATGACAGTATGTTTATCAATACCTTGTGCCAAAACATCAGTGTTGAGACATTTGAGACCTTTTTGTGATGAATCTTTTAAATGGTCATTATATGAACATTCTCCTAGGATTTGAGAATTAGGCAATCAATCACTTCTCGTATTGTTAGCAGAATTATAACTACAGCAGCGTATTACAATGCAACATCGCCGAAACAGTCAAGCCTAGTTAATTAAGCAATAAAACGTCATTATTATATTTGCTGAGACTGAGTAAGTACTGGATTACGTTTTTTCTGTTTTACTCGCATAATTCACATTAAGGTTGTAAGGACACTGTAATGTTCTTTTTTACAGGGCACAGTTTAGTAGATGGATGTTTTTGATGCATTTCCTGTCCTTATCAAATGCACGGCTGTGTAACGTCTACATAACATGCATTTACGTTACACTATGGGCCGTAAGCTTAGGAACGGTGAATTTTACAATGAAATTTATATCACAAAGCCCGATACCACGTCACAAGGGGCATTTTACAGCCGATGAATATGAATTCAGTAATACAACCTTCATAAATATTTGTTGATTTCTTCATAAACACCATTTTCACAAACATGAAATTACTCATTGTCTGTGTCCCAATAAATGCAACTGTCAGAAACATTGGTCAAATCTTACTCATAAACGCTATTTTCAAATGAATAGGTTGATGTCTTACTCATACCTTCTTAAGTGCCATTCTGAAAAGCAACAGACAGGCCCTTGTTCAAGTCCTCATACACTTCATTTTCCAAAACATCGCTTGACTCCTTACTCACGTTTTCGTAAGTACCATTTTCAAAAGCGTCAGCCAGACCCTTGTTTATGTCCTCGTACTCGTCATTTTCCAAAGGATCACTTGAATCCTTACTCACGTCCTCGTAAGTACCATTCTCAAAAGCGTCAGCCAGACCCTTGTTTAAGTCTTCGTACACGTCATTTTCCAAAGGATCCCTTGACTCCTCACTCATGTCCTCATAGGTACCATTCTCAAGGGCAACAGCCAGACCTTTGTTCAAGTCTTCATACACGTCATTCTCCAAAACATCGGTGGAGTCTTTCCTCATGTCCTCATAAGTGCCAGTCTCAGAAAAAGCAGCAAAACCTTTGTTTGTGACCTCTTGGAGACCGGTATCAAAACCTTCAGCCAAATCTTTGTTTTCCTTAAAAACAGGATTGTTGTAAACACTGGCTGCCGTCTGGTTCACGACCTCACTGACGCTCTTGGTCGGGGGATCCTTCTTAGGGCTCAGCGTCGACTTACTTGTGAGAAACGAACCGGTCAGGTGCGTCGACTTCTTTCCTTGTGCCAGGTTTCTCACGTACTTCCGAACCTTGTCTTGTCGAACGACAAACAGCAGAAAGATGAGCAGCCCTTGGAGCGAGTTTACAATGGAAAAGATGACTTGGAAGGCGAAGTTGGAGGCCTCAAACAAAGAGAGCAAACCAAAGACCCAGGTAAGGCCTAAGAGGATCGAAATTGAGGCCACATTCTGTAAACGTTTCATTATCTTCTTTCGCTTGCCGTCGCCCGTGATATTCTTAACTTCGTTGACACTGCACGTCAGCTGACGAACAACGAGCACGAAGATGACGACATTGAAGAGGGAGATAATGCCGATAAGGAGCAACTGGCCATAATAGAAAGCAGGACCAGGCTTCAAGAAGCAACTGCAAGGTTAGCAAAAAAGGCCAACGCATCATAGGGATGTCAGTTGAAAATTGGGAGGCATCTCCAGTAAGCCCTGAAAGCCTTATATCAGAACTGGAAAGAATTTCCAGCTCCTGAAATTCCACTGGCTGTAGTCCCCTTGACAATAATGTCTATGTGGATGACAGCTAAGTGCCATTATTGTGCTTTGCCCCCCCACCTCTATAGCTTAATAATGACTAATTTCTAATTTTGGTCAGTCACAATAAGCCTGACCTCCTTCTGTAATCTTTTGAGAAGGCAGAGGCAGAATTACATTTTTAATCTCCTCACATTAACTTCCTCTCATTAAGTAATGAGATAAACACTGCTCAAAATAAAGCCTGGCTGGCCAATCCTACATGGATTCGAGGAAACGTTAATGAGGGGGAAATGAAAGAAAGAAATACATACCTATATTTATTCTCATATTGTTCGTGATCGGCTGCCAAAATCACACTGGTGACCACAGCAGGAAATCCTGCAAGGTCAAAAATGTTTCGCAATTAACAGTACATGGGGCTCAGCGCTTCTACAGTTTGAAAGAATTACGAAGAAACCTTCATTAAATTTAGTCTAAAGATGGATTTGTTTTTGGAAAACCTTACAGATTGGTCTACATGAACATGTACCCCTTTCTAGCCTGGTATGATTTCTTGACAGCTTCCAAATCAACCAAAATACGTTACCTTTTTCTCCAGTGTCTTTTTGACAAAAATTACAAACGGAGTACGTACAATCTGCTGATACCAATCAATAATCTACCGTCGGTCTTTATCGGCATCTAATGCTAATTCCAAGCAGATGTAAACTGTTTATTCTTCAGAGTCTGCTAAGCCAACAGCCATCATGTATTTTTATATTATTTGTGCATGGTCATTTGACACTGAAATAAAAAACTGGCAAATGTAAAGGGCTCTTGGCCAATTTCTTGCATGTTGATAAAAGATTCAGCTATGATGGACTCATTCACACTTTTTGAACGATGTAAACAATCATATCACCTACCCCAGGCAACAATGGACGCCTTGACCATAAAGTGAGACACATCGGAGCCAAAGACCTTGACCACCTTAAGATACAGGTTAGCGGCCTCTACGCCCATCCAGGCCATGGAGGTCAGGGTGAAGTAATGCATCAATACGGCGGCAGCGATACAGCCGCTGCGGGAAGAGGTCTGCTCGATGCCGGCCAAGAAGACCAGATAAAGACACAGCAGAGACAGGCACAAGCTGATCAGGATGCGACCTGGTGTCTTCGATCTCAACGGCCTATTAAAGAATACATTACAAGATTACATGATTGCGCCGGAATAAAAACTGCAGTTGGTTATTACATTTTGCTGAATGTCTGCTGAAATATGGATAAAACTGAAATTTATTTTTCAGGAACATTGATACAGTTTTCAGGTGTACTTTGCTTCGGGGAGTTGTTGATTTTAATTATGGGTTTTGCCCTTACTCAACGTATGTTCCTAAGCACTCTGAAGCCATTCCTTGTCCGAGAGCTTGCGAACAAATTCAAAAGCTTGCTCGGGTATAGGGACTCGAACCCAAGACCTCGCGCTTATAAGTGCAGACACCTTAACCACTCGACCACCGAGCTTGCCAGGATCGGCTGGCTGGTCCAAGTCAGATGTAGCAGAAGGTACGGCAAACTATTTCAAGTTTGCCCTTACCTGACGTATGTTTCTAAAGAGTACTTGAGCAAGAGCTTGCGGAAAAATTCACAAGCTCAATTGGGAGTTACCGAGTAACAATAACAACAATCGGGGCATTAATAACGCACACAATATCTGGAAAGTACCATTCAAAGGCGCAGACTATCATTATCCCTGCACATTGGGCTCACAACATCTAAATATTCCTTAAACTATCTAATCTCCCTTGGGAGTATAATAGCCCAATGCTGCCATTTTTAGCGCAAACGGCTAATGCAACCGTGTCTGCCACCACAAGTACCCATTTACTCCTGGGTGGAGAGAGGCACATAGGGGTAAAGTGACTTGCCCAAAATCACAACATGCTGCCGCCAGCTGGATTTGAAGCCCCAATCCGATGATCAGAAGCTACAAACCCCAGCCACTAGGCGACATGCCCCCAGGTAGACAGTGTTTAGAAATATACGTCCGGTAGGAGCAAAACCTGTAATTAAAATTGATAAAGTTGTAATATTTACCTAATAGCTAAGTAGATGAGGATTGTGATAAGGAGTGCCGCTATGGAGATACCGCATCCGAGCTTGCTGATGACATCCAAAGCAAAGCTGGCATTTTTCTGACCGTGGATATTCTATGATAAGTTAAAAATGTCAAGTTAAAAAGTAATAGTCTGTGACTATTTCTGCTTCTTGTTTTTCAGATAAATGTATAACCCAGGGCTACGTTATCACAAAATATAATGTCAAATCTTTCACATTCTTTGGTTTGGGATCACAGGCATGGATACGGCGATCTGAATTAAAATGAAACACCGAAGAAGCAACACATGACAGGGTTCTTGGTCAGACCTATTAGGATATCACAAGAAAAAGGCCTCTAGTCGGAACACAAGCCAGAATCTTGTTTAATGCACTGCAAGACAAGCATTCCTTTGTCATCTTTCACACTGGTATTTGTGACCGGTCCTATGACGGGGCTTGTGAATGGTCTCATGGCTGATCTCAAGATGATTTCATGTATAAAAATCCCTGGCTATATAACCCCCCACACCCACACCCACCCACACACTTTTAGACTAGGGTGTAGAGTACTATATCATCTTTCCCCTTTTCGTGGTGACAAACAAATAAGCTGGGCTTTGAAGGATCTTTCAGACTTCCCAACAGGCAAAATGTATTTAATTACACTCTTAAGGAGACCAATTTTTAAAAAGTCGTATATACGCCATTTTGATATAAGGTTCAGCAAGAGTGTAATACATATTACACAAGTGGATCTGTGTCATTAACGTCGCCTCCCAGTACAGTTTCATACGGTGTCAGACTCTCCCAGCTTTTCAAATTTAAATTTCTATGGGCTAATAAGTCATCTCAACTCCATAATCCGCCACCCCCCCAGTTCCCTACACAAATTCATGCCACTGAATAGTTTGACAACAAAATTCATATCAGGTATGACAAAAATCACTTTTAGCCTCTTATTTAGCCGCAACTGTATATTTTAAGAAGTCAGGTTTTTTTTTTAAAACGAAGAAGGCTCTATTTAACCCGACTTGTACGATCTTGAAAAATGAAAACACACAGATTTATTTTGTCAAGCTCTATGTAACCCTCACCACGAGAACCGCAAAGTTGGTGGCATGATCACACAGGCACACTATTCTCCCATTGACTACGTGGTCTTTCCTGCAGCCGTCTGTTGACCAATCACCGATGCCGTCGCGAAGACTGAAGTCCCAGAAGACACACGTCTCTACCTGATCAGAGTCTTCAGTTTGGTCCATCGCCTGCCATTTTAATTCAATCATTGCACTGCATTGGTTAAAATTTACACTTGAGACACGACGGTCTGACAGAAAACGACTTTTCAGAGTACGACTGTGTCACTGACTTGCACAGCAATACTTGACTTGGTTTTTGATAATGTTGATTATTGTGTGACATGATACAAGACAACAACAATCCGAGGGATTATCATCTTCTATACAAATACTTGATGACGATGAGAGGTGCATATTTCATACAACGCCAAGCAGACAATCATTTCAGGCAAACTTGAGTTTTCAATGATCAGTCCGACGCAATAAAAGTTTCGGGTCGTGTTCATGAGAGAAGATGAATTCCAGAACCTTACATACTTTTGTGTATGATGTGGAGCACATTGTGGTAGAACTCATTTGAACGACATAACATGTATCGAGTAAATATGCCTTGAACATCTGCATCCAAACTGCTGTTGGGAAAAGCTTTAAGGTCAAGTAATGATAGAGGCAGTTTTGTGTAGCCCTTTTTGATATTTAACGCTTATAATCATTTTCACCTCATTCAAGGGAGAGTTGAAAGCGGTGACAACCGGATTCTCGGGTGGGAGGTCAGTGATGACAGCATCCAGTACGCTAGCAAAGATGACACGACCGCCAACTGCACGGGGTTCGTCGCTTGACTGACTGCTGACAATCAGCTCAGAGCGGAAGAGGCTACTGCTGCCATACATTACAAAGCTGATGGGAATGGCCCTGCCTGATAGCCACAGAAAGCCCAAGCTTGAGAAAACTTAAAGAATGCTTTGGTCTTCTTTCAGTTATTCAATGTTATAATCTTAATTTCCTTTCGACAGTAACACCGATTCCAACCGTGTTCGGGTCCGTTTCATCTAGTGATATCAATATAAAAAGAGGTGACAGGCAGACGTACCAAATCAATATTTCATAATTGATAGATCAATAGTAACGGATCCACATGTGGCACACTCGGGTAGCACTCGCCTTCTTTTTATTGATGGAAGTACATTCTCATTTGTCATAGTCACAAATTTCGTCTGCTTACAACTGCCGAGTAATGCCACATTTTCAAAAAGAAATTCTCGCAAATGTCCGGCTTGCATAATCGATTACACTCCTTTTGGGTCACCCCAACATTGCAAGAAATACGTTGCAACTGCCGCTCTTTCTTGTAAAAGGGTGCTCCGTCACTGGCGTGACAGGTCTGCCCCCAGCAAAAAAAAAAAAAAAAAAACAAAAAAAACAGGCTCGAAAATGAGTCATAAGCCCTACAGTATTCAAGTTACAAAAATGGCACTGCATAACACCATCTTTCACTTGGTCAAGTATGTGCTTTTCGAACTCAAATAAAATACTGCAAAAATTTACTGCCATTTCTCAAGTGTCTGGAAATCAAATACAAGTTCTGACCATTCCCCAGTTATGTGCGCGAAAACGGCATGATGGAACCAAATAACACCTTAATGGGAGTGACCGTCAAACCTCCCAAGAGCTTTTGTGGAACCAAAAAAAAAAAATCTCACCCAATCAACCCAAGATTAGTACTTCGTATTTTTGTCCCTAACCAGCTTATGGCAGGAGAGGGTGTTTTTGAACAAACATGAATGGAAGCCATGGAATCGGCAGGTGTCCATTCAAAGCCACGGATTAAACTGTAACTGTATATTCAGTACAATAATTTAATAATTTTAAAATAGTGTGGTTAAAATGCATTGACTGTTTGTACTCAATAAGCTACCAAAGCACGGTAAGTGCTTTTTTACGATTAAAGATGGAGCTACTTCACTAGGTGATTTCGTGCAAAGTGGGGATCAAATAGCCAAGATTTCAACTGAAAGTGGTGACCCCCCAATATTGTCGAATTTTTAAGATTTTGCATGGTGTTTTCGTGAACCAACACTGTCAGTGACAGGAAGCAAGTTCTCTGGAATAGCCAACTGGTTACGCTGGCGGTTATCGGATCGTTAGACGGTGGGTTGGAATCCTGGTGGTGTCTTTTTATTTTCCCAGCACTTGCTGTCAGCCAGTAGCTATAAGAGACTCTAATTCACCCCTGTCAAATATCAACAGTAGCTTAGCCGACCGAATAAGCTCTTCTGCTGGGACTCTCCGCTAAGCCCAGGTGAGCGCCTTAAACAGGCTCGAGACGTAAGGCCGACTTGGCGGCCAGGGCTTAGGGGCTTGTCTCGTTTCCTCCCTTGCATGGTCGCTCAACCCTTTTTGGGTTAAATGGATGGGCAGGGAAAAAGTGCGGTGGGCCGGTAACCCAAGACCCAGAGGAGTCCTATATGGAAGCCGGTAACTCCGATTCCTTGCGAATTTCAGGAGTCCGTGAGCCTGAATGCTTGGTCAACACCGAATAACTTTTGGATTTTTCCTTCACTACGACTTTTTTCCCCTCATTTTCCTTGGCGCAGAACGAACAAGGCAGTTTTTAAGGATTGAATACAGAGAGCTGGGGTAATGCTGTTTTGCTTTCACTATTATGATTCTCTATGCTGATACCAAAAATCACATCATAAAAAATGACTGATTTGCTAATATTCTTTAGAATGAACATGTGAGAGAAGGAATTAGGAGTATGCAGAATTGCAACGTTAGACGTTCGTTTCAACATGAAACGGCGCTAAAATTTAACAGAAGGTGACAAATTATAAATCGGACAGAACCCAGGTGAAACGTTATAATGCTGATTACTTTCAACGGATTTTATGCACATTTTGTTTCCTTTTCCTTGTTTTTTATTCTTTGATCCAGACTTTGGTCCTTCATCTGCCAAAATTCAGTGAACATAGTGTTGAGTAATTTACCTGGAAGAGTATTCTTCAGTATTGCGGCTGGGAGTTTTACGGATGCCTCTGTCCCTTCCAAAGGGATATCACCATCTGACCCTCTATAGACACCGATGTCCTCATCTAACAGGGAATCAGTTACACCATCAGAGACAGCTGCAAAGCCCACCCCATTGGCCAGCGATCCGTTGTCAAAATTCATCGCAACGACAGCGACACTGGTCGTTACTTGGCTGATATTTTCCCCTCCAGCGAGGACGTTGGAGATTTGTTTTTCCAAGGCTTTGACGATGCGTGAGGAGGAGTTGGCCACTGCTGAAGAGTCGTTGAGTTTCTTGGCGTCAACTTGGAGAAGGTTGTTGACAACGTTGATAACACTCGCTGTTACCTACGAGGTGTAGAGATTGCGTCAAGCTTTTTTCCGTAACACGGTTTTCATTTTTTGGGCAGGTAATAAACTAAACTTGACCAAAAACTGAACAAACTGCACTTGTAACAGATATGGTCGGCACATCGAATGCCCTTCAAATTTTACACAAAAGAAAAAACTGTTTGAAACAGTTTACTTCTCAAAGCTTACTTTTGGTGATGTGTCTTGAATGTTCACAATATCGTCCAAAATATCTGCAGCAGATGCCACTGAGCTGTCATCGACTGAAGATGTGTCGTTAGTAACCGTGGCAAGAAACTTGGCTGCTTCACCTACGTTGTCTTGAGTCACCGTGCCATTTGTCTTAGTATCATAAACACATAATGAACATCAACGTAAAACGGAATTGGGCTTGAACTTATCTGTATACACATTAAATCTAAAATCTTTCTGTGAAAAGCAAGGCGTTTGGTGGTCGTGACCACACGGCCACATTAGGATATTGGGCTAACTATGGTTTGGTTCCAAGATATCGTCCCGAGGCTCATCAGATGTGCAATTGAAGGAACTCAACTTGTAGTTACTGTGCATGTATTAGGAACTGTGTGTGCCAACGCGTTTAGATTCCAGCACCAAACGGTAACAGGCAAAAAGCCTACCCTATCTAAGTTTAGTTCTTGGGAGGTTTGATCATGCCCTCCCCCTGAAAACAATCAGGTGGTGTGCCGAGTTAAACTGGGAGAAAATCTTTCAATTTCCAAAAGCATAGCAGATGAGAAATGAAAGCCTCTACCCGCTATGCAATGATCCCTGCCGACTGCTACACTGGAAAACTTGATGCATTTCCACAGTTAGACAAACCATGAGCAGCTGAGGCAAGCAAGCTTGGTGCAGTTGAAGTAAAGACTCATACTTCCAGAGGCTTAATTTGAATTTCATTCCACTTACTTTGATCGTCTTGGTTGATACGAGCCCTGCTTGGTTGGTAACTGCCACAGTGATAAAGTAGTTCAGGTCGCGCTTATCAACGTGGAACGTATGTCTGTACACCACAGCATAGCAGTCACCAATAGGGATGCACGTGCAACTAGCAGGATCACATCCATCCCTATCCTATGGGTAGATGTGTAAAAGTGAAACGTAGTCCTTGTTTCAGGGTTTTTCTCAAGACTTTTTTGTGAGCAGCTCTGCGTTTTATCATCCAAGCAACTTAACCAATGACAAAGGGGCTGTTGGTTGGGGGGGGGATGATGCTCCAAAATCCCTAAAAAAAGACCTTGGGAAATGTAGGGAAACAAAAGTATTAAGTCGGTCTTGACAGCGATTTAATGATGTGGGTCAATGAGAGGCAGTGTGTTTCATCGCATCTCCCATGTTACGCATTTTTCTTTTATTTTTAGATTTCACACAATGACATCCATTAGAATCTTTTTATTTGGTTTCTTTAATCCTTGTTTGCTTTACTGCTAAATCAACTGGCTTTAGAAAGATGATACTATCTGTTTATTTTTCCCTTTCTCTTTCCCTCTCAGTCTCCTCAATCTTAAAACAACCGAGGCAGAATCCACCACCTCGACATGTTTTCTCGACATTGCCGTAAGTTTTGTAAAAAAAAACAAAACGCATTGCAGGATGTTTGGAAGCATACCAAGTGCAAAAATAAACCGGGTATAGCACAGCAGAATTCTTTGGAGGTAAAATTCGCCCCCAGCTGTGGGATCGTACAAAATAACCCGGATCTTTGGGAGTTACGTTTCAATTTAATAACTTCTGTTTATCTTACCACATTTATTTTCATGCCTGGTACAATCTGGCTTCTTTGTTCCATCTCTGTACCTGTGTGGTTGTCAGAGAGACGCCATTCAAAAGCTTTTATACCGCTGTGAATGTCATATATTCTGCATTCGACACTGGCAATGAAAAGAACATTATAAGAAACATTTTAATAACAATACAGAAAAGGATGACTTTGCAGAATGGAAAAACCATACTCCTGGCATGTACATAAAAAAGATCTAACATATGCAGCTTTCAAATACCTAATGCCTCTCAGACTAGGTAATGCCGACAAGTCTTGGATGATTGGCGGTGATGAGTCGGCATGGACCAGCACACTGTCTCTTGCAAAGTGACCGACCAGGTCCCTGGCCTCCAACCAGAACCGAACGGAATCACCATCAACCAAGGTTAAGTTGTAGGTCGCCCTTGTGTTTGTCGTTTCATTGCTCCAGTTATCGGAGTTGTCATCGCCAACGTCGGTAGTTGTCCTACCACCCTTGTGGTCGATGTCGTAAAAGACTCGGAATTCTGTCACACCAAGTTTGTGAGGGATAGCCGCACGGCCGCGCTGTCCGAAATTCTGGTCGTAATCTACATACAGAGGAAATGTTATTCAGGCTTTTTCCAAGCATGATGCACACGTTAAATGTTGTATAATGCTCCCATCTTGCCTAAAACTTGTATTCACCCCCTAGGCGTGCAGGAATACCACTTTTGGTTAGTTTTTAATTTTACCTCCATTTCAGTCGAAATTGGTCTCATTGATTTAAAAATGGGTTTATTTTCACTTAGTAATTAACAGTTCGTGTATCATTATCTGGTCTTTTTGGGAGTTGGTACCAACAGCCAACAATAGTTTTGAAAGCCACTTGTAGTAAAAACATGAGCAGACCCAACAAGCTTAAATAATTCAACTCAACATTTACAGCATGTTGTTTTTAGCACTGCAAAATTACCAACCGCTAATTAAAATATTAAACACGTACAAACCAACAAATCAATAGTAAGAAATCAGTGGGAGACATGCCATAAAAATACCAATTTTCACTTGGTCAAATTTCATGGAATATCAGTTTTCACTTATTCAAATTTACCATCGTCTATGGCGCCCGCAGCGTAGAACCCAATGGGTTTCAGCCATCCCTGACTCAAATAATTCTTATTCAGGAATCGGTTTGTCCAATCGATCTGCACAGAGGTTTGCCCTCCGGTGGAATTAAGATTCGTCAGCCACAAGTTTTCGGCTTCCCCTGTCCTCGAGAAAACGCGCACAACTGTATCATTCTGAACTGTGACATCGTCGGGATCGTTGTCAAAGATCGCAAAACGTCTAGTGAGCCTGGTGTTTCCGACGTTATCAACCACAGTTAGAAGAAACGAATAAACACCTACAATGAAAAAACACAAAAGCCATGAATTGTTCCACTATCTTTAAAGACAAGATGACAATTAGCATCTATGCCGATGGTAAGAAGGCCCCAGGATCCACTAAAGCGCACGCGAAAATCTAAGTGCTTTGTCGTCGGTACAAAGGTCTGAAAGAATTATACCACAAAAGTAATCAATTCTTTGAAGTGATATCACAGCAATATAATATTCCAGTAGAATATATTTTTTACTGTTATGTGTTGTGTAGCAATAACAAAACCCATCTTGCCCTGAAAGGCAACGTTATACACGATCTGGGTTATTCTTGGGATCGACTGAATGCCATCTGCTCGTGTTTAACGTGTATTAACCGGATAGCCTAAACGCTAGCTTAGACTATCTAGGCTTTCAAAGGAAATTACGGGGAAATGAAACGGATAGGGGTCCTACCAGGACGGGGCAGGGTGACGTTCATGCCAGAACCGGTTAGGCCTACTCCACTGTAAACAGGGTCATTGTCGAATATTTCTGTCATCTCGTTGCCATCGCTAATCGATAGCTGAAGCACTTGCAGTTGATATTCTCTAATACCAGCAAGATCGTCTGCCCAATCTTGCCACGAAACATTGACTACTTCCTGAACGGAAATAAGAATGACAAAAATCATTCAAATATAGACTATAGCTAACAAACGTCTCTTCCACGCACAAAAGTAGATCCCGTGAACAATTCAAACACAGGCTAATAAATCTACTTCGACGCTTGAGTCACTCACTTCGAAGCACAATCACTTCCAAATCCCCAGCGGGTAAATGTTGGATTTGAAACTCACCTCTGAGGTAACATCATTTCCTGCATCCAGCATAGTGGTTCTACATCCATTGTCAGCATTCACGCAGTGGTATGGGCCATCAAAATCAAAGGTGAAAGTTGCGTGGGCAGAAGTGATTCTGCCACTATAGTACCGTGTGATGATGCTACTTGAGTGATCTCTGTCGAAGAGTTTCAAGTACCCGCCACTGGTTGAAGAAACATCATATCTCATTCTACAATACCACAAGAAATACGCGATCGTGAATATCCATAAATGGGTAAATGCGGCTCTTCTTAAATATTAGCAGCTTCTCTATATACAGAGTGTCCACGTAAAAAGTATACTAAGATAAAAACTTACTGTTTTAGAAAAACTATTTTATATATGGGAAAGAGAAATATATCTCTAGGAAGGGCAGAATATCATTTTTGCAATGATATACAGCTTGTGATGTTATTGACACAGATGAGTGAACAAACTAGACTGATATTAAGGGTACTGAAATCAGAACTGTGACAAGTTGCATGGTTTGAATTCCAAAAGTTGAAAGTCAGACAAACAGTAAGGGACATGTTACAAATATGTCGGGTGTGCACTGACATGAATGGTGGCCATGTGGAGGGCACAGTACATTTAACCTGCGAGGTAAGTAGCAAACTTAAAGCAGATTAGACTGATTTAGGTATGTTCCTTGTTTTCAAGAAGGTGTTCTTAAATCGAAGGCATTAGGTATTCTAAAACTCGCATTGTTAAGACTTGTCAATCAAATGCCAGAGTGCCTATTTCGGTACCCTTAATAGAGTAAAGTTTTCTCACCAATCCGTGTCATTAACACCACAAGCTATTTAACATTGCAAAGAGGACATTTTCCCCTTTCTCTTTCCCATATATAAAGTAGTTTTGCCATTACAGAACCAGTAATTTTTTATCTCGGTATACGTTTTATGTTGACACCCTGTATACAGAGAGAGATGCTAGAAAGTACAAACTAAGGAAACAAACAGTGGCGTATACACCAAGTGGGGCCCTTACTGGCTTTTTTACGTAGGAGGGAAAGTAGTCGGTACAATGGTTTATCAAAACGTAGCACCAAACCTAATAAAACACCATGAAATAAAAACAAGGCTTTGATATTTGTCACTCCCCTAACATCATGTTGAATAAGCCGGAAGCCGTTTATGCTTTTGTATCCCCCCACCAAAAGCTAGATACACCGACGGAAACAAGCATCCTTCAAGTAATAAAGTATTTTGTTAGGCCAATTAAAATTAATTCCTTGTTTACCATCTGCGTCCAAACGGATTTTCCGATTTTCCGAAAAAGGCCCTTTTCAACCTAACAGGTGTGTTAGCACCACAAAAACGGTCTTGTGTATTTCCAGACTGGAAAATTCTAACTTGAAATATCTAATACCAAAGGTCCTCCTAGCCCAAAAGAATAATTTTGAGTAATAATAAACAAGAAATTAAGTTTTAATCGGCCTTAACCAAGACCAGTGGCTTGTATAAGTAAAGAGGAAGAGGGCCATGGCCCTGCGAATTCCACTGTATTCCTACAATTATTTCAATTTATGAACCTGTATCTACACTTGGCTTTGACTTACACATCTCCGGTAGCTGGTCTCCACTCACTGTAGTTCAAAGAAAATGTATATTCACAGGATACCAGGTGCGTGGTGGGACTGTCTGAATTGATGGAGCTTCCATTTGTACAATTCCGCGAGCCAACCGCATAGATGGCGCTCAGACCACCTATTGCTCGGGAAACAATACATTCGAGCAAAACTGAACATGGTGCTAGCCTAAATAAACGGGATGTTTAGTTTGAAGTTTCCTAAAAGTTTCCTCCAGTTTTCATTGTCAGCCCGGGGATAGGGATTTGAACGAACCACCTTTTATAATCCCCTGTAATCCCCTAGAGGAATCCTTCCAGAAGTACTGTATTTGCCTTTGGGCAATATTTAAAAATGGCTGATATTTTAGGTTTTCATGCACTTTCTAATTTTCCCCGGAAAGACCAAACAAGTGCACATTTTGATCTCCCCTCTTGTGAAAATCCTGGGTACGCCCCTGAAACCATACACAGATATGCGAATTTGTTTGTTCTTCCCTCTGTGACACTGAATTGGCATTTTGTGTTAAAGCCTGCCCAATAGCGAATTGGCCACATTCATTAAAATGACCAGTTGTTGTCGGCTGCTATGACAATTCTACAGTAGCAAAAATTACGGCTAATGTCTTAATCTTATGTTGTTAATCTGGAAATATATTGCTAATCTGCTTTGCGTGTACAGGCTGCGCTTTCAATTCACTCTGTGCGCTCATGTGAATTAACTTACGATTCACAACGGCTTCTACTCCCGCACCAATCACACCAATCCCATAACTATAGACATATGGATGTCCACCGCTGCTGGGGTCTGGTAGTCCAGTAGGCTGGTAGGAGCTTGTCCACTTGATTTTGATGCTTGTAAAATTGTGCACGTTGGTGTAGACAGTGCCTGTGTTGCCCTGGTCCGTGGGCGATTCCAGAGTTGTTGTTCCCAGGATAAGGGTAGCACGGTGCTCTGATAGGGTTGGAGCTTGACTGCTGCCCACTGTTGGAAAAGGGTTAAAGTCGTCGCTTTCTTTCCATGAGCAGATTAATTTTTCGAGTGGATATTAACGTTTGAGCTAAGTAAAATTATTGGTGTTTGTTTGTAGATAAATTAAATAAATCAAGATTCACACATATTTTAACTAAAGACCCTGAAAAGGGCTACTCCCTAGATTATATATACATATATCATATAAAAGGAGAAAGGTAAGGGATTTGGAAGACGAGGAATGCGGCAAAGCGATATAATGTGTGTTTTTATTGACAGCATTGTCGATATAGTCCGTTCTTGGCTCCCTAATGTATGTGACGTTCCAATAAAAAGACTGGAAATATCTAGCAGCGATGCTGAAGAAGCTGTTTCATGGAGAGAAACATTCATTGCATCGTAGGGATCTTGATGCATCCAGTGATGTCTCACTTGTTCGGCAGTCGGTTCCTGAAAATCCACTGCTGCAGGTGCAATTTGCATTCGTGCAGGATCCTGGATAGCAGGCATTGCTGTCACTTCTCCATGAACATTGTTCTGGTGAAAAAGTAAGCAGAGCAACAACATTGGCAGTATAAATTTGCCGTCCATCACTGTTGCTTCTAGCTTTCCTGACTTGTTTTTCCGACAACATCGAAAAAAAGGCCCAAACATTTTGTAATGTCAGTGGACTCCATGAACCGATATACTTCACTCCAGACTGAAGGAAGATCCTAAAGGTGAAGAGCAAATGCGCTAATTGAATACAGGATGCCTTTCTTGACAAAAAAATTCCACCTTCCACCCTATTTTTCTGAGCTTTGTGGTTCTGGGGAGGGTAGATTGTCGATATTTTGAACCATATGCTCCGTCTGTCCGAATAAGAACAAAGCACACCGAAAGATAAAGTCAAGTCGAGCAACGTCTTCTCGCCAGAACCCCGAAACTTACAAAAAAGGATCACTTCCCATGGTGTTAATGCAATTTAAACTGTTCAGGTCCACTATACCAAGGGTGGATCCAGACCTAGCTTCAGGGAGGCGGGCCGAAAATATTTAAAACCATTTTCACGGAACCTTTGTGGCCTTTTTGAGAGATAAGGCTTCATTTAAAGGTGTTTAAAACACATTTTGAAGGAATCGAAATGAAATACACAGAAAGCCATTTTTTTGTAAAACTATAAACAAGTGTGTTAGGGTTGTTTAGTGGCATGGCCCCTGTCCCCCCCCCGTTCCTGGGTTTGCCCCTGCCCTGGTACAAACCGTCATTAAGCTGTGTGTAAGCCGAACAACCTACCGATCGACCGACAAATCGAACTAAAGCATTAAATCATCAAGCTGGATAAAACATTTTTTGTTCATCCTGTCCTTTACTCTCGTTTTTCCTGTTCTCTTTCTCCTCTTCCCAAGTCTGTTCACACCCTATCCAGCCCCGCTCTCCTTTCTTTTACAGGGATTCAGTTCATTCTGTACATCGATGTACTTGACTTAACGATTTGCAGCAGTATTAAAAGCAATCTGTAATAGCTTTATCAAAACTCTTACTATCGATGGCGTAAGCGTTATCATTTCCTTAGGCAGAAAATAAAACTGGGACCTATTTTTCTTTGAAATAAACTTACCTATGCACCGTCTCATGTCATCAGACCTATTGTAGGCGGATCCGAGATCGGAGCCGTAATCACCGTCACATCGATCACATTTCTGGTTCGACGAAGTGCTGCAGAACACGTCAAGACAGTTTGCAATAGCAGTACACCCTAAAGTTAAAAAACAAACTATAATGAGTGCATGAAATAAGGAAAACATGTTACTGGCATTTACCTTGGAACGCTATTTTTTTGTGGTGAATTTTGAGGGGGTATAGCTCAAAATTCAGTATTTGTTTCAATCAGTTGCCCCATAGAGAAATAGACATGTTACAAATTACCCCTTGTCACACTTTAAATGTCACATACAAATGTCATTTTGAAATGTCATACCGAGGATTTGTTGGGATGGGGGCTGCGACCGGTACCCCCAGGTAGATAATGCTTCTCGATGCATCGCAGGGGACTCGGGTGTACGGCTTTACCAGAGCTTGTCGCTTAAAGTGTACAGGTATACTGCGTCTAGTATCTCAGTATTAAAGAATAATCAGGGGCTTGAGTCTGCCGAATTCACTTTCTCATTTTGGGTGTGTCACTGGCTGCAAAAGTCTTTAATACAGTTTGCATGGCATGTTTTTACAGTCCTAACCTTTGGGATTTAATGAGGAAAGTCAAGAAACTTGCTTTCATAACTTGACTACGATTACTTACGATTGCATCTAGGAGAGTAGAAACCTTGATTGCAGTTGCTGCAGTAGTTGGGACTTGTACATGTCCCTCCATTGGGGCAGTTAACACTGCCAAAACAAACAGCTGCAAGTTAGAGAACAAGACTGGTCTTATATGTAAACCTAATTTATTATTATATTTCTTCTATCTACTGGGTGATCCATTCAGTGCAATTAATCCATGAGTTCTAGTAGGAATAACAAACAATAAAACCAGTTGGACAATTAAAAATACTAAACTCAGATATTAAAAAAATCCACTTAACATATTCCTAACATTAAAAACGTGACCTAAGAATTACAGAACATAACATTATTTTTATTTGGTGTTCAAAACAAGTTACACAGAATAACAAAGGTTATAGCATTAAAAGTCATTCGTTTGAGTAGCTAGTGTCTCACAAATGACAAATTATCCTATCTTCAGACATCATTTTTACATATGTGATGATCATCAATAGAAAAAAAAACAGTTATTTAATATCAAATTACTTATGTATTGAAATGGCTGATATTGGTCTGGAAAAGGATTCGGTTTTATCTCGAGAGTAGGTTGTTCCACGTTTAGGTACGCCAACAGGGAAACGTTCTTTCTCAATATTCAGTTTTGTGGTGTTGCACGGTAACACTCCCTATAGAACTTGATCTAAAGAATGTTGTTCACTGATCCCACTGATTTTTCTGTACAAAAGGTAACTTGGAACTAATCCGGCTAAACACATAAATATAATGATATTGATGTGTAAATCCCAGCGCGCTTGTAATGTTGTCCAACCCAGACGGTTAAATACTTCAGTAGTGGAGAGTCTGTACATTTACTTGGAGAAGCTGCGAGGTTATTATAGTAGGAGGGGCAAGACTTGTAGCCGAAAGGATATTTATAAAATTTATAACCCTTCGACCGTCGAAGCAGATTACACACAAAATGGCAGCAGGTACTGTTAAGCAGCAGCACATATGAGATCCAGTCACGTTAAAAACTTATAACAACTTCTTGTGAAGGTACAACTACGACGAAAACGCAAATTATGGTCGTGCTCGTAACGATTGAAGTTTTGGATTTTCCAGGATAAAAATCCATTTGGCTTGAGTGACATTTTAAGAGTAACTACAGGTACTTCACGAAAGGGCATTTTGCTATGCATGGAGTTTGTTTTGGGTCACAACATCATGTACAGGTATTTGGTATACTTGTAACATGTGCTTCATATTGGGACTTGTGTTTAGAAATGAACTCTAAAAGTTGGAATAGGACTTACGTGTTGGGCAGTTATTTGAGGTACTTCCAGTCCATCCTGTGCAACACCGATAGCAAGTTCTATCCCTGTTGAAATAATTAATGTTAAGTTAACTAAAGAATGCAGCATGCTTTACATGTTTCATTGGTTCTGATGCAAACCACCAAAAGTCATAAGGGTCAGAAGGAAACTTTATGCGCGCTCCTGACAACACAAATTCTGAAAAGTTGATCTCCCTTTACAATGACGATTTTATTTTAATTAAAAATCGCAAGGCCTTCACAGACTGAACATAAGTAAAAAACGTTGTTGCCTGCATCATACTTAATTGGAGTGTTATGAGATATCGGGTGCAGAAGGTCGGTTAAAAACTGTTGAGACAGTTTTGATGCGAACAAAGAGGTTATATTGCTTTTCTTTCAAGCTGACGCCATTGCTTGAATAACAAATACATCGACGGCAATTAAAAGGGTTAGTCTTGTCAAACAATCCTAGGTTGTACCAAATTCATGCAGCTTTTCAGGCCGACTGGAAACAAATATATTCTAGAAAAAAAGACACCGAATAATTATTCGGAATTCACTTGGAACGATACAATGACCCAAAATGGTGACAATACCAACGGTAAGCTCGGCAAAACGGAAATTCCAAGTTATGGGGAAGACCATAATAAGCCATAGGAAAAGCCATAACTAACATTAGCACAAACAAAAGGAGGCATGAAAAGGAAGATTTAAGCACTAAGCAAAAGGGAAAAAAGGAAAAACAAACATCATGCCAAAAGGACATCAGGGACAAATTAGCTTTTACTGTGACTCGTATTATCATGTACCGGAAGATTGAAAGTAAGCCTACTTGACGAAGACCACTTGAATGGAAAAAGCATATTCCAGTAGGCACCAAAGTGAAATCTTTATCTATTGGAAGGGTAATTTTTTCTCGTATTTGTCTTGTCATAGTTTTATTCGGAAGGGGTGAATGGAGGGGGGGGTAATGGGGTATATACAGACCTGTATCTTGAACACCTACTCCAACCAAGAAATCCACAGGACGTGTAATAGCGCTCAGGGCAACTGTATGAACACGCAGTAGCTCTAGAAGAAAAAGTGGATATAATCCCATTAAAGTCAGCTGTGCACTGTTTCCTTAGGAACGTCAACTTCATAAAATAAATTTTTCAACATAGTTCATTTATAACGTTCAGCTGCCCCAAACCTCCAGTGTGTGTGGGGGGGGTGCAAGCTATTTATCGCATAATTTAGTAGCCAAGAGCATCTTTAGCAATATTTTATTGTGATTTCTGTTATAAAATCTACATCAACATTAAACAAAAGTTCGCAAAAATCCCTGCGGACGACTTTTTACCTTCTAAATCATTACTGTTGTTAGAAAGGCTTCTTTTCACGAAATGCAATAAACATGCTTTTATTCTTTGATACCTTTTTAACAGCAAACTAAACCAGGAAATTTGAGGTCTTTGTCTACACCAAATGTAAACAAAGAATGACTCACTCTGATTGTGGCAAATTCCCAACGACCAAAGTTACGATGGCAAGGAATAAAAGCATAGTTTCCACTTAGAAGATAATCTCTAACCAGTCCGTAAAGAAAGACGTCAGTAGTACACAATGCCTAGTTTGTCATTGGCCTTCACACAGAAACTCTGGTACATTCCACCTGAAAGGGGTGACAAAATTCTTCTGTATAAATGAAGTGCATTTAGGCGCCGGCTATTAAAACACTTATATAAAGAGCAGGGCATTCAAATACGCTTTAAGTAATCATTTCTTGTTTTCTCACTAATGGTCAGCCAAAATTTCTGAACCAATGGCAAATACTGCCATGAATCTTATTTGATGGGGCACGCTTCCGGGGATGGGGGCTCGGGGGCTTCAACTCTCCCGCCCCCCAGCATCCCAAAACATACAATATACACCCACAAGTCTGAAATTACAAGCTCTCCTGTACATGCAGGCCGTAAATCCCAGTTCTCTATGGTACGCAGGGGGAGAGCTTATTTGGAAAGGGGGGGGCATATCCGGTCCGAGTAAACCCCCAACCCACCCCTTGACAAATCACGGGTGCGCCACTGCCTCCGACATTTGCTTGTGTGACATTATCGGATTGCGTTGATGTTGGATTTCCCGTCATGCCTTTAACGATTCAATCCAGGTAAGCTCTTAAAATGCATCCTTCATGGGTGAATTCGAGAAACTTCTATTGAAAGCAACCCTCACCCGGAAGAGGACACATGTGTTGTGTATTCAAAACAGTGAGACGACTGGGACGAATAAACTGGAGACAACGCGTGGAAGCTACGCAAACCCACCAAACGAACGGACACTGACTGCCCAAGTATCGAGAATGCAAATAACGTATGTGGTTAGAAAGCCCATGAATTTAGATTATTGAAGATTAATCACATTGGTAATTCATAAATTCACTTTTGATGAAATTTATTCATATTAAAAAATATGTAAAAACTAAAGAAAGATTCACAAACGTCAAAAGAATGAGTTGAAATCCCGACTCGATATCAAGCAAATGTCACGTGATGCGTGTTCCACCAATCAAATGGCAAAGATCTGTATGACAGTCATATGACTTGATATTATTTGATACAGTTGAACTGTCCCAATTGGAACCGGAGTAAGGTCGTGATGAATATCAGATGGCGAGGATTTATACATGTGTTGCATTACTGCATGATTGCATGAGGCGACAGATTAAATGGTCCATTGCACGAGGCGAATTATCTGCTCTTACACCATCAGGGGTATTTCGTTCTTTTATCATGAAATACTGTAGCAGGATTAAAAAAGTTTCCGAACCATTGAAATTAGCTGAGTCTGCAGTATCCTAACAGTGACACATGCCAAGGGCATAGGGTTTAATAATAGACATCTAAATTTTGAATTGACATATCTGCCAAACAATCTGTGGTGTCCCTCCCGCGGGTATACTGATAGGACTTTATTGAGGCCACACTTCCGTCTTTTGAACAAAGAAACGTGACTAGCTAAACTTTTACAGGCGTACAAAACGTTCAGCGCATGAAAAAATGCTCTGCGACGGTATAAGAAAATATGTAAAAACCCTCCCCAATTGGTAAACATACTCAGTACTGACCAAATTGTCCACGATTCTCCAGAGACAAGGGTAAAGTCCCCAAATATCACCCACGTTTAAGGTCTCAATTTCATTTTTAAAGGGGACATTCCACAGGTTCCTCCTCAGGACAGTAAATGCTAGTTATTCGAATATCTGAAGTATAAACTGATTAGACTAGTAAGCCCAAGCCAGAACATGCAGGAGCATAGTGCTGGATTAGCATATTGCACCTTGCTGCATTCATAGGTGAAACAACATGCTAAACGATTGACAAAAGCCGTCCAGAGATGTATGCAAGTCTGTCTGTGTTTTATATCACGTCTACCTCTTCCGCATTATAACATAATCATTTTTGTTTTCAGCAAGGAATGAATGAAACTGAGACTATACTGTTGAGGTTTCACAACCTCAGACCCATGATGAGGAAATGCGGCGAATTTGACAAGCGCCAAAGATTCCTGCAGTTAATATTCGGTGGTTCTTCATAAGCTTGTGATAACAAAGAAACGTCACAGGTCTTGGTTGCAATGGCGGCAGCTGTGGAATAAAAAACTAAACACAACTAGGAATTCACACACAGGGCCAGACTTTCACATGGAATTTCAAACACGCAAAGAATCGCTGAACCCAGAACTGAAGTCGTTGATGACAGTTAAGTCACCGAGTAGAATGACTTACTCACTTTCACAAAAGTTGCCTTATCAAAACATAAAATGAGTGCGTGTCGGACACAAAAAGCCCTATTACAAAAAAAAAACAAACAAACAAACAAACAAACAAACAAACAAACAAACAAACAAACAAACAAACACCCCAACAAACAAACAAACAAACAACCCAACACACAAACAAAAACAGTATCATGGCGTATACAGCTCTTGGGTGCAGGAGACTGAGGGGCAATATTTATTTTGTTACACGACTATCAATGTTTTAACCCGTAGAAGAATCCTCTAAAATTACAAATGCGAGTGATTGTACCATTTTACATTTTCTACAGTTAATGCCACTCTCGTCCAATTATGTTCAGAGCAATACATCAGGGGTCTGTTACGCCTCTGCAGAGTAGGAAGTGCTCATGTAACGACACAGAAAACGTTCCTTAGTTTCCGTTTACTTGTGAGCTTTAAGCATCTCTGAAAAAATTGGAGTTTCACATTTTTTCTCGACGGTTTTGTATACAAGATGTTCCGTAATTAAAAACATGCAATGTATTTCTCGACATTTCTCTCCGTTTAATATAGACACTTAATATCTTAATTCTGATAGATAAAAAGGTCCTGGGGGGCATAGTCCTTGCTTCCCCCAACCGCCCTTAGATTCCCTGAATTTATTTCCACGCCTATTAGATAGGGTTCCAAGCCCAGCCATCAAATTATACATATATTCAGCGCATAGACTTATCCGACCTTTCATGCGGATAATCAGGACAAATCACGTCCCCACTTGGGGTCTTTGTAAAGAGTCAAACCTTTCGGCATTCTGGGGAATATCAATCTGGCTGTTATTCGTTGGTCACCTGAGCAAGAAACTGGAACTTTGAAGCATTCTCAAAAACTTTACTTTGGAAAGGCAAAATTGGAGCCTTATTTTGTATTAACGGTGGCTCGAAGACTCGGAAGCAACTTCCTCCTTTTACTTTTAAAAACGCTGGCTTTGATAAACTTGTTTGAATTTAATGTCATTTACAGTGATTGGTCTAGTAGGACATTACTCAGAAGAACGTGAACATATCGATGCAGAATTTAAAAACCCTCTGCCAACTCAATTCAGATTCTGGTAAATAATGTACTTCCAAACTTTTTGAAGAGAATTGTTAGAAAGGAAAAGAGTATTCTTGAAGGTTTACAAAGGATTATAATTCATAAGAAAACACTGTATTACTTTTCACAAACAAAGTGCACACAATTTGGGGGATGCCACATCCGTCCCAACATGGAATAGTTTTAACTTAATCTTCCTCCAAAAACTCACTAAGACTCTTATCAAATGCCTGTGTTCATTCGCGTCGAGTAAATTATGTTTGAGAAATGGGCACATGCATTTTATAATAATCATTGCCATATGCCCAACTGCTGAATTTTGTGACAGAATTAGTGTTCAGTCAAAGCCTGTTGGCACGATGTTAGAAATGTGTAAAAATGAGGACTGGATTACTGAAACATAAGCTCCTTTTATATAATGATTCATATATTACAAAGCAGTGCTATGCACCTCTTTCACGTAAAACGCATTCAGTCTATTTTCCTGTACCACTTTTTTTCAATGTCGTAGCTTACAGGATTCCATATATATACAGCAACTGAGAATACAACATTTTCTTATTTGGTTATTAACACTACATGAATTCACATCAACGATGCTTAACCAAAAGTGGTTCTTGAGTCATTCTCAAAAGGTCTTTATGTAGCACCGTGATGGAGACTGGTATACTGATAGACAAACAACTCCTTTACAAACTGGTTCCATCGATTCTTTGGGGAACAAGGACCATCTGCTTCAGTGTAAACAATCCACTCCAGAGTCACGACTAGTTTAGGAAGTGGCCAAAATAATTATAGGCAACTAAATGGTACAGGAAAAATACTAGACTGAAACCTCAAGTACGCAAACACACAACACGGACCAACTTCAACTCAGTCTCAGCAAGCAAACTCCCTTAGCATTTTCATGGGGCATACTCTAGGTTCTCAATGCATCACCAGCCAAGTTTGATGTTTCAGTTTAAGTTTCAAAGAGGATTTCTTCTTCAAGAATTCCATTTGATGAAAGTAAATTCAACTTATTCCAGCATAACATGTGAGGCATAATATTTTAGAATAGACTGGCAACATGTTCCTTTTAACATGAAATATTGATACAGAGTAGCACAGAAGTGATTGACAGTTTTTCGTATAAACGTGTCAATCTCCGCCACCCCCTTTCCTTTTTTCGTTTTCTTTCTTTCCTTTTTCTCTTTTTTTGGGGGGGGAGGGCAGCTGGTTTTTGCCAGCTTGAGGTTTTGAGTTTCCATACAAGGTGAACAGGTGTCTTATATTCTGAGTGAATTCTGCCAGCGCAAGACGTAATAAATATCACATCATTCATGTTCCCATTAGGGTTATACATTAAGAGCATCAACTGAATTGGGGTCACTTTAGCTAAGAGGTTCAAGAAGCTCCATTCGACGGTCAAACAACTAGTGAATTCGACGTACACCTAGGGCTACATATGGCAATTCACAACAATAAAGTATGCATACAATGAAATGCCAAGGAATAAAAAGCCAAAAACAAGGAAAACAAACAGTGAAAAATCCGATATTCGATAGCAAACAGACACACATTCAGTATCAGGCCAAAAAATCTGTCGCAAAAATATGTTGGAGGTTGCAGCCAAATAAAAAATGCAAGAAAATTATTAAGTTGCCATCATGCTGAATTGGACCTTGTTTTGACCCAAAAGGTTATCTGACTGCCCATTTCACATTACCAGAAAAAAGTACATCATTCATATTCCAAGACATAAGACAGAAAAATCTCGAGAGAATTCTTGAACTACTTATACACAAGAAAGGTAGAAAGTCTATGACGACCGTGTTCATATCAATAATAAACCTGCAAACACCTCCAAGACCTATACTTTTGACATAACTTTGAAACGTATGTCAAAAACCTTGAAATCTCACTAAGACTCTCGGGTCAAGTGCCTGTTTACATCTTCGAGAAAACAATAAAGCTCAAAACACTAACAACCACAACCAAATATTCTAGTCCACAACTAATATTTTAGTGGGGCCATCGTTTGACAATTCGCCTATCAATCTAATATACGCTTATCAATCCAATGCCATAAAATAAACTTATTTTAACAACTCTCATACAGTTTACAAATGTTCATTAATTAGCATTTTAACCAATTAAACCTGAAAACCCTTCATTACAAGTGCGCACACGTAGGGGTGCATTCTATCAACCACTTAGATTTAGACCACTTCGGTTCTCTCGCTCATACTCACCCCGAGTCGTTCTGCAGACATGCCCCTATTTGCATCAAACAGAGTGCCGATTCACAACCGATCCAATAGACACAGAAACTCCAAAGAGAATTTGGCAGGCAGACTCTGTGGGTAACTCTCGAGATTCAAAACAGCTTTATTCACCAGGGAATGTTAGGGGTTTCTGACGGCGAGGCCAGCAACATGACCTTTTGTGTTGTACACCAACACAACTTCAGCAACAGATCCCAAAACATTGGGGCAAACATATGAGACCGGAATCCAATGCTTAAAAACGCAATGTGCACGACAAACTTCCGGGTTCACGGTTATAACCGGCCAAATGCCGCGAACGATTAGAACAGGTCTTTTTTTAAATTGTGCAGTAGTACATGCCTCAAAAACGTCGACAATAGAATGCCTTTCACAGACGAAAGCTGTTTTTTTTAATAGAATGGGCTCGGTGGAAAATCCCAATCATAAACAGGCAAACTAATCGACACGACAACGTTATTTCAAATGATCAGCCAAAACGAATTCCCCTATTCAAATGACAATTGTTACGAGCAGTAGGACGTTGCACACAATGCAAGCGCCTGCCTCACTGGCTGCAAAAAATAAACGAGGAAACACATTTGTGTTTAATATAGGGACTCTCTCCAAGCTCATGAAACTATATCACCTCGTCAGAAAATGGTTCTCAGAGACCACTCAAGATCCATTTATTGGTGTTACGTCACCAGAATCTCTGTGGACATCGCTCTCATGCTTTTACGCTGAGCGTATATCTCAGGCCTCTAAGAAAAGTCTATTAAGTGCCTTTAACTAACTTAGATTGCAGCGTTTTCAATTATTATTACCCCTGCTCCCTGGGCCCATGAAACACTGCAGGTACCATTTTAGCGCAAAGCTTTCGGTGCAAAACTGCTAAATCAACCACAATAACCATCTCTGCCCTCACAGGTACCCAATTACTCCTGGGTGGAGAGAGGCAATGACTGACAAAGTGCCTTGCCCGAGGGCACAAGCACAATGACCCTAGGCTGGATTCGAATCCGCAGCCTACGTTTTTACCCGCTGACTAGGAATCTAGTGCTCAAGCCACGGTACTCCACTTCTGTGTAGTGTAATTCGACCACCAGAATTAGAAGTCATCACTGCGGTGGCACAACGCTCGTGGACAGGTGGTACGCGCACGTTGCATGCCTCTTCGACGAATAGGGTGCCGTGATTCGCCAAACGCACGCGCGCATCAAGCTGGAGAATGTGTGTGAATGCGGTGCAACTGCAGTTAGGGCGTCTTATCGGATTAGTCTATAGACGCTTTTAAAGACGAAGCCCAAAACGAAATTTTAATAATGCGTGTTTTTGTGTGCTTCCTGCCTTATTTTTTTAGGCTTTCTACTGTGCATGACCAGTGGAACGCTTATTGACCTTATTCACTTGATTTGTTACCCAATCTTCTGAGAGGCATCTCTATAGTCATCAAGTTCTACATCATAAACACAAAACACATGGACCCTTTATATCGTTCGACAAAATCATGTAACTGGCACAAGCAGTTTCAGACTTGCGTGTACATGAAGATAAAATGAAGTCGAAATGCTTGAACTCTCGGAAACTTCAAAAAGCGTAAAACTCTGAGCACTCAATTGGAAAAGTAGGTGAATCACTCGATAAAAACGTACAACCAGGCATAGTTCAGACAAAGAGTTAGAAAAACAGAATTTGAAAGATTTACAAAGGAAGGTAACTAAGAAAGCCTCATCAGCTTTTCAACGCCTTCACCCACCAATGGGACCTTAGTAAATACATACTTGCATGGGCGGAAATCTCTCCTCGGTCGTGGGGGGGGGCATTAATTTACACTTTTTGTGCACACCGTGTTTATTATCTTAGCCCTTGTATAAAAACGCAAAAGGGAAAATTCTCGATCCATTCATTCCGTTAGTATTTTGTTTTGCTACTTGCAGTATTGTCCTGTTATTAGTGTCAAATACTCCAATGCAGATCAACTTGTGAACCTTGTATCTCCCCCACAATAAGTAATTCCACTACTCAAATAACCCCCCCCATGTGTTAGACTTATTCTCCAACCAACAACGCCAAGTCTGATAAAATTTTCCTTGTTGGGAACAGTCGATCTCGCTTGGGATGGCATGTTCTCTATAGCCCATCCTCCTCCTTCGTCTTCGAGATATCTATGGGTACCACCCCAGAAGGTAGTGATATCATGCAGTGGGTGGAGACTATGGAGACTGACATGCGTGTATCACCGCTGGCTCCCGTTACCACGCTTTTCACTGAAAGCTATCAACTCAGATGGCCTGTTCAAAACGGTGAACAAGATCATCAGTGTAAAGTGGATTTGCACCAAAATACATCTACTACGGGTAGTGTTGTTCATAGCTCCAAGTTTGATGCTGTATACTGTGTATTTCTGAAGCCTTTCCTTAACAAAACGCTTACTCTGACAACATTTGAAGTATTTGCAGTGTTATGTATTCACTCACAGTCACTCTACATGTAACAGATGATGTAATGGTACAACACAAGACTCTGCTTGTGACCCGTGACCCAGGCCACAATTAATGACCTCACTTGAGTCTGGAATATTGTAGTCTACCATATGCGGGAAGTGAGAAGTCTTTGACTTTGACTTCTGCAGCATTCCAACCTGTGGTAGCGAATCGTCTGTGTCAGAGTTCAGCCAACTTCGGTCTTGTATTTATGTGCAAATGCTTTTATACTCAGTTTTGAATACCAATTGAAGTTAGAGGGCTAATTCTTTTCATTCTGCTTAACTTCCTTTACATGTAATTAGCATTTTTGGGCTTTTGGTTTCGCGGGTTTAAGTTGTACCAGGGGGGAAAAAGGTAAGTTATTTCTTAAGCTAAGGAGGTCTTTTGTTTGAATGAATGCCTGTGCTGGGTGTGTGTGCATGTGGTGGATGCAGTGGTGTATATAAAAGGAGTGCCCCATCTTTTATCCAGGGCCACTTGTTATGCTATTCTAGTAATGGTAATGTCGCCATCGGTTCAAGAGCTCTCTTGCATTTGGCTACTTCCATGCCATTTGGAGCAACTCGGCTCCAGTGGTTATTTTAAAGTCAAGATTCAAAATTGTAAAACCTTCACAGAGAGAGGCCATCTTGTATATGTAGTAGTTTCCAACTACAGTGCTGAACTTTGGGCCGGCGACAGTGACTACAAGCAACAACAAGGGTCAAAACCAAAAGCCCAAAATCCAAGGCAGGAATTTCCTGGAATTGGTTGTCTAAGGGGTGCAGTGTACCCTCTTCAGGGAAAGCCAAATCTTGACGGGGTTGGTGTCATAAGGAGGAACCACGTGAGGCGGGTCTGAGAGACCACGAAGCGAGACTTGGGAACAACAGGGAACGTGCACAAGCCTGATCAGGAATAGTGGGCACCGTTCGTTCAGGATGGACGATTCAGGCAAAGAGTTGCCAAAATATCGATTGTAAATTTTCTTCCCTGCTATTTTATTACATGTATAGATTATTGTACTTGGCTTGTAATTGAGTAACTTACCATGTTTGATATTTTGCATTGGTGGCAAGCTGCGATTGTTAATATGTCACCTTAGGGCGAGTTGTGGTAATACTGATAATTACCCATATAAGATGCTGATGTGGTTTAGGAATCACTTCATTTGAGACTGGTGTGGTTGTCAATACTTAATAACATTAATATTGCCGTGTTTAAGATATATTTATATGTTAATAACTGAGTATTTTGCAGTGCCTGAAATCAAGGTTATTAATTCAGGAATTACTGATGTAGAATATTTGCGGCTGGTTTGAGACCAGGATTGTGAAAGTGCGATCCCTGTTTGGGAAACGATTCAAATATATGTAGTAGGGTCATCTTTCGGAAGCGGAGCATTATTTTAACATAGGATTTGTACAGTTAATAAATCAAATATTCCAGGTGAGAATCAACAGATTTTTCGAATTTTTATCAATTGACAGTATATATTTAACACGACATACTTAATTGTGAAAGTGTTGAACTTGGGACATTTCGGAATAAATTGTAAAAAAAAGACAAATCAGTTTGTTTAATTGCCTTACCGATCGAGGTCTCACAGTCTGTACAGCAACACTTGTCAGAAAAGTTTGTCCATACAAAATGAAGGTGCAGAGCTGAATTTTAATCTGGAAGAGATAGTTTGTGAACTGAATACAGGTCAACTTTGTGGGGATCGTCAAGTTCCCGTATTTGCGACGGTCATAGCACCCTCCTCGCGTTTCTTTTCGAGCCCGGTCATTCTTATTTGACGTGGTTTTCATGCCCGTTAAAGCTCATTTTTGCATCATTAAGGACTAAACTGTTTTAAGCTATCTGTGAAGTTCATGATTCTTCACTGAAGTGCCTGTCAAGCTCTCGCCCATAAAATTATCTTGTTTATCTTTTCCTGATTCTTACCCTTATCATTGTAAACTACATTAATTCCCATCAACATTTTGTTTGCTATCCTTATTTTTTGACAATCCACGCGTAATTTTCTAATGACTGTATAATTGTTCCTTTTACCATTGCGATCTTGTTTGATTTCTTTGTTGCTTTGGAAAAAACAGGCTATATAATAATTGCCGTTCTTAAATAGTTTGGAGTTTTGGGGATGATAACATCAGATTGTCTTGTTGAAAAATAAGGAAGTATTATAGTATCTGTCACGTGCGCCTGCTTAGCTGTGCAGTTCTTTACAACAACAAAAAAGAAAAAAAGAAAAGAAAACATTGAGGCGTCTCCGTGACCAAACCAAAGTTAAGTGGGAAAGCAAAGAAATCTAAATGACAAGTAAAATATGTTCAACAAAGTTAAATGAATGTTAAATTCAATTAATAAAAACAAAACAAAAATGATAATTTCGAAATAATTTAACAAAGTTAAGAGAACCATTCATCCAATGAAAACGATCACAAAAATCGAATCCAAATGAAAAAAAAATCAGTGGCTGTCTATCGACGACCAATAATCCATCACTTCACAGTTTGCTGATTCCACAGTGGTTGAAATATTCTCCAATCTTTTCTTTTCTCAATTTACCCCGTTTTTCAAATACAACTCATTCTGAATATAAAAGTATGTAAATCAAATTTTAAGGACATTCTCTCCTAAAATTCTGCAAAATTTCTCTTCGAGTCTGGCCAGTAAATTTTATCTTGTCAATACAGTCTAATATAACTCAATGAGCAAAATATCAAAATTAAACTTCCTCCGTTAAAATGACTGTCGATGTCGTTATCAGTGAAACGCAAATTATTCTGATCTCTTTGAAAGTAAGAATCTCGTATTTCTATATCATCAGTAGAGTGAAAAGCTTGAAGAAAATAAAAGCATCGGACATCAGGATCTGCACTATCAAGCTGTTTCCCAAGAGTTACGTTTTATGGTGTGGTGCATTAACTAATCAACTAGGCAAAGCACGTTGGCTATGATTTGTTTCAGGTAAAGGTTATACAGAGTGACGCTAGTTCTTGAGGCTGTTTAAAGATTTTCAAATGCTGTAGTGTTATCTGGTACAAAATGGTTTCAGACAGCTACGTTGAGGTATGTTAACCACTATGAGGCTGGGATATCGCAGAGGGCCGACTGACGTGAGATCACCCGAGCTGCATTGTCATTCGTTGGCTTTTTTGTTTCAGGCCAAGTACGAGCGGGTGATGGCGTGGCGTCCTGACCCTTCTCGTAGTGGCGAAGAGCCAGCATATTGAAAGTCTTGCTATTCGCAATGATGACGTCAGCGTCAGCAAAATTGTCTATATCGTCCAACATGGAAAAATATAGACAATCGATCATGTTCTTAGCCGTCCATTGACCGGAATCAAGGAGACGTTGGCCTTATTTAGGGCTTTTTGGAACTCCATGCTGATTCCGTGAAGTAATGAATTACTTGACCGTTTCAGAGCGAATAAATTGCCTTTTCTCACTTTGTGCATTAATGGATTTTTATACACGCACAGAATTTATGTAAAGGAAGAAGAAACGGAAAAGACCAAAATAACTCAGAACAAATAAAAAATGGGAGCACGAAGAATTGAATCGGACGGTCTCAGTATGTACACAGCGACGGAGATATAGATAGGAATAATTACAACGCGTGTTGTTTTTATGTGCACGTAGAAAGGGTCAACGGTAACAGTCAAGTGGGAGCTGCTTAATGCCGTCTGGTTCAAGGGGGAGGAAGCTCCGCAGATATTGTTCTTGTATTTTTGAAACAACCACTCTGCAGTTATAAGATCCATGACCAGTTTTCTGTGCAGATCTTACTTTTGCGACGTTTGTCTCCGGTTATACGACGATTAAAAAAAAAAACACACTAATGCACGGCTAAGTGTCTGTGTTGTTACCGGTCTTCCCATGACAAAGAAGGGCACTGCAGTCAAGGGTGGAAACTCTACCTTGTTGATGATATCCAAATGTTCTTGTGGAAAGACCATAAACAAGAAGCGCCGATTGACGAAACAGAAGCACGTTAGCGGTGAGGTGTACTGTCAGAACTGCAAACTATACCAAGAGGCCGATCGCTGATGCTTCATACGTCCCCTTCAATGTAGGCATGCCGTACCCGTAGATATTCAAAGGACGATATGGAGGAAAAGATGGATCCTGTGGAGTTGATGGAGCGGGAGCTGGAAGACGTGTCTTCCCCCGTGACAAGCTACCGACACGTCATGTTCCGCGACCTAACGCCCTGGTGGACAACACGGATCCTTCTACCTAACCTGGACGGCACTGGGTGGCGATCTACATCACGAGGGATGGCGTTGGGGCATATTTTGACTCGTACGGGCATCGACCTCGGTTGAGAGACATAAAAGCTTTTATAAGGAAATACTAGTGCATCGAGATGCAATAGCTACCCCTTCAAGGTCCCTTAACCACCGTTTGCGGTCAGTATTGCGTATTTTTCTTATTGCATTGCGATGCAGAGACATCGGCATGAGTAAAATTATATTCAAGATGTATTTTTGCGTTGCAGAGATGTTAATTTATATAACGGGTTTTGCCCTTACCCAACGTATATATTATTTAACACTGTATGCTCAGTGCTTGTCCGAGAGCTTGCAAAAAAGCCACAAGTTTACTTGGGTGGGACTCGAACCCACTGCGACCTCCTGCTTACTAGTGCAGACGTCTTGACCATTCGACCACCGATGTCTGATATGATGACGATATGATGTCGATACTGATGTCTTATTCCTGATTGAACTGGGGCGGGATCTGACCCCACTCTTCGACAAAACTTCCCCACATCATCAACGTGCATTGTTTTCGTTTAGACTTTAGTATTTCACCCTACGATCATTTTGTTTTGTGATAATCTATTCTGGAACCTTTTTTCGAAATCTAAATTTTTAAATATGACATTCTCCTGAGAAGTTTGTTCCCCAAACCGATGTGCCCGAACGCTAATTTTTAATGTTTGACGTGCTCCCATGACACCAGGGAAAACTCACGTGAGGCTGTGAACGTGCCACGACATTACCCAGAACCATAGTGGAAATGCATTGCATTTAAAAATCTCAAAAAGGGATCCTGCACACTAAAACAAGTGGCTCATGTTGATTAACTTAATGTTTGCAGAATCAAGACCTACCTAAGGTGAGCAGTTCAACGTGNTTAAACAAACTTTGTTCAAGCTGCCATTAGTTTGCTTAGTTAGGTGACAGTCGTACGTACTATTTCGGTCTTATCTTACAAACACTGGCAAATTTTATCTAAGTTATTAATACACTAGAATTTATCTTCTTCATCTTTGCCTATATAAACGTAAAATAACGCGGGTAAAGTTAGATCGCTTATAATTTCTCAACCAGTTGTGGAGTACGGTTGATAACCCGTATGCAATTGAAACTGTGTACAGAAGCCTTAACGTTCCTTGATTGAATCAACAGATTACCAGCTATGAGCAAAACAACGATCTTCGTGTATCTAGTCGTTCCTGCCGCTTTGTCCGTCGCTCTTTTTTGGAGTGACACGGTGGCGGCGCATTTGCCCAACGACAGCAGAGTTCTCTTTCTGGTATTCTGCGTAACGCACAGCCTTCTTGCTGGATTGGCATATTTGTCGAGGGCCGCTTACGTGTTCACCCACAGCCCGCTCGCGTTACAATTCAATGAAGCTAGAAATTCGTACCTCATTGAGAAAGGGCAGGCAGGGTTGACCAAGGAAGGCATCATTGCAACGATGAAGCGACGGCGGAGAGTCGGAGACGTGCCGCCTGTGTATCCCAACGGTTGGTTCATGGTCTGTACCTCAGCGTCGCTGAAGAAAATGGAGACGAAGCAAGCTCATATGCTAAGTAAATAATTTTTTTTTTAGTTTTTGGAACAAACGTCAAGAGTCAAAAGTGGTTTTACGTGGCCTGTTTGAGACATCACAGTGGGGACGATTGCGATCATTTGTCGTTCAGACCAGGATCGTGCATCGCACAAGTCGATGGAACCTTGATGCCGGAACCACCGATAATTACCCAACGACTGCAATAATCATTTTATGCACAACACAGTGCGATGGTACGGATAATTTCTTGAGGTGAAGCCGTATGGAACCATTATCATATGTCACGGAATGAAATTATTCTGAACGACGACCTCAAGAAGTGACCAAATCCTCCCATTCGTGCAAAATGGTGTTTTAAAAATATGACCTATTTAATTTTACATTTTTGACCACTTTTATACGTCTTACGAACTGGGGAATTTATTGCACAGTTGAGTAATCTGAAAACTGCTAGTACACACTAAATTTGGAGATTTCTTGTTTCAATTTAAAGAGTAATTCATGAATAAAAGTTTTTTATTTTACACTTTGTGAGATTGTCAAACCTGGAGGTCTTACTATTTGGTGCTATTCCATTATACACGGTTTTTGTCACTACGCTCACGAAATAGATTGTTACACTTTGTCAAACCTGGAGGTCTTACTATTTGGTGCTATTCCATTATACACGGTTTTTGTCACTACGCTCACGAAATAGATTGTTACACTTTGTAACATTCAACATGCGCCCAGATGTTCATATTCAATATCGTTCTCATCACACATACACACGGTATCGAGACAAGACCAGACCTGTGTTTAGCCCCCCCCCAAGTCTCTGGTTTCTGGTCTGGAGCTGGATCCAAAAGTGGTACGGCGACGCAGCTTTTTCATCATTCATTCATTCATTATCAAAAACTGTCTGAGGTATTTATGAATACCTCATAACCACACAAGAATGTATGACATTGATTCAGAAAGTTCTAGTGCTTGAAATGAAATTCTGTGTCACGAATAAGCCAATTAGTAATTACCGCAAGTGTGCTGCACTGGAAAGTAGGACAAGGGTCATTTGTACATAGAACAAATCGCTTCAACGTGTGTCCTGAGCGGGCGCCCGTCTGTGACATACGGTTTGTGTAGAGCAAGTTAAGTGGGCAATTTAGCTAGAGCTTCGATCATGGTCAATTCTCATAATTTTGGTTAAAAGCTTGATTGATGATATTCGTCTGTGGCCCATGGCACGATTGGACGAGTTTTTAAGGAATAACAACATATTCCACATGCTCCACTAAGATTAATGAACACTTAACCTTGATTTGTATGAAATTACCCGATGGTTTAAGCTCGTACGTATATAACTCCATTTTCGGTTTTATTATATATTAAACGTACTGCTTTCCGTAAAGTTTTCCTGGATCTTGAGTTCCGTACAGGAATGTCACTTGACACTCTGTGCATAAACCCTATAAGGTTGGTCTGAAAAATTCTAAGTGTTATAGAAAATATGCTTCGGTTTCTATAAGTACTAAATTTGACTTTGTGGGGAATGATATTGCTTTATGATGGCTAAGAAGGCCCTGCAAGCGGGAAATTAGTGCCATATGTAAGTAAACATCTTACCGATTTCCTTTCGGCAAAAGTTATCTAAAATTATTGTTAATTATTCTGGAATACTAATCGGCGTTATTTTTGAATGACTCTACAGGATTGTGGATTACTAGAAAGTTCATTCTTGACTCATTCCCAGTTCTTCAGCATCTTCCTCTTTTAGGAATTTCTTAAGCGATCGCTGTATCAACAGCAACCCCATTCGTGGAGCACATAAGCTATAATTAAATCAATTCGTTTTATGTAAATTAAAAATTCATTCGCGCATGCACAGTTAGTAATTACGACCCGCTAATTAATTGCAATGCAAAATAATCGAAGAGAATCGGTATAACGGTGTGAGGAATATGTAATGCCCCACACGAATGCCCCATACTGTCATACAAAGAGCACATATTGATATTATATGCCTAACACAGGGTGTTCCAGGAAAAAAACGAACCCCGAGGAAAGGGGTTAATATTCCGAAACCATGAGGTATGATTACAATGTATAAGGATCTCCGAAAAGTAGAAGCAGTATTGTTTCTAATCCAAAGCGTTACAACTGAGTTCGGATGCCCCATTTTCAAGACAATGGTGTTCAGTTTTGCATGACAGGAAGGATACCATCAAGGTATAAATAGAAGGAATACTGATTCTTCTTTTCCGAGATCCTTATACATTGTAATCATATCTCATGGTTTGGGCATATTACCCCTTTAATCAGGGTTTGGATTTTTCTGGGACACCTGTATCGCAAAACCTCAGTGAGTTTTAGGGTACGTTTTTGACTTTGTCAGGTTTGAATCTGGCTGTGTTTCGTGGGGAGAGCGGCAAAGCTTACATCGTAGATCCCTACTGCCCTCACCTGGGCGCTAACCTGGCAGTTGGGGGGAAAGTGACCGGAGAGTGTATAGAATGTCCGTTCCACGGCTGGGCGTTCCAAGGAGAGGACGGCAAGTGTGTTAAGATCGCCTACACAGACAAAGGTGAAGCTTCGGTATAACTCTTTGACTATGACATACGAAACATTGGAGACGCAAGGCTATAAAAGGCTAGCGGATTGCATAGAGGGTTTGACATCAATTTAGTGGGAGTTAAACATTTTGTTCACGCCAAACGCCAATATTTCTTAGACGAATCAGATTAACCCAAACACGTTTTTCCTATTGGCTTGTTCAATTCATGTGGGCTGACACGCGTGGGCCATGAATCTCAAATGGTTTTCAAATAAAACCACACTGAATTTAAATTTTATGGATGCATAAAAGGGACAATGAACTTCTTTGCCTGCATGCCAAGTTCACAAAGGATCGATCGTGCGACGGCTTAGTTGTTAGGGGGAAGAATCTGCCTCTCCCAGCTGAGGGGTGGTCTGAAGAAGCCCGGTTCCTTCAGGTTAAGGCCAGTGCTTCTAGTTCACCGATATTTAATCCCTCTTCTGGAAATGGTATCCAAATAAAAAAAAAAAGAGGAGCACAAGTTGTTTAGTATCAACCTAACGAGGGGAAATCCAGAACACCCCTCCCCCAAATGCTTTTTAGGGACTACATCCGAAGATTGGAAGACCCCACTAAAAAGCATAAACCATGTAGGGATGTTTTTCCAATACAGTGAAGGAAAACACAAAGGGTTTGAATAGCTTCATTAACAATGACAACAACATGCGGTAGCCCTCCATACAAAGATTCACCCACTCAGCAGGAAATCCTGGACCTGCCCCTGTAATTGAAGTTATATGTTTTATATTCGTATCTCCCCATGTGCCCTATCACTACAGTGCCAGACTCTATCAAGGTCCCAACCTACCGGTCCTTGGAGATCAACGATATGATCCTGCTTTGGTTCCACGCTGAGGGAGAAGAGCCATCCTGGTACCCACCAGAGATTGAGAAAATCAAGAGTGGGGAAGTGAAGTTTAACGGTATCTTTGAGGCTTACGTGAACTGCCATATCCAGGTGAACTGATTGTCTTTGTGAGGCACCAGAAGTAATAATGGTAGTTAGTATAGATCAGTTTGACCTCTGACCCTTGACCGACTTCCGGTGCAGTATAGATCAGGTTGACCCCACTTCCGGTCGCGTGTGAGTAAGTCACGTGATAGTTTTTTTTAGGTTCAGAAAGGTCGGTGGGGTTAGTAGGTCAAAGGTGCGCAGTAAACGATGAGCGGGTAAAAGTCGACGGAGATGGTGGGCGTAACCGCGACAACGGTCGAGGAGGTGATAGATGCCATGTTGCCCTGAACTAAAAAAAAGAAAAGAAATAAGATAAACTTACCTCGAGAGGCGTGAGATCAACCGAGCTGCATTGTCATTCGTTGGCTTGTTTGTTTTTTCTTTTG